CAATTATTCTTTGCAAGCAAGTCAATAAGTAACCCATAGTTTGAAGACAAAAGATTTGGGTTTACGACTTTGCATTTCTGGTCGATATAATCAGTGACCTAAATGACGTTAGTACTCGTCTACAAGGGAAAGGTCAATTCATTAAAAAGATGTATGATCATATGTCTGCATTGCAAATGAAACTTGGTCTTTGGGAACAACATTTAAGGACCAAAAACTTTACTCAGGTTCTTACATTGTCATGGCAACCAGACGTCACACAGGAGACGTCACACACCAGACGTCACACAGGAGACGTCACACAGGAGACGTCACACAGCAGACTTCACACAGGAGACGTCACACAGCAGACTTCACACAGGAGACGTCACACAGCAGACTTCACACAGGAGACGTCACACAGCAGACTTCACACAGGAGACGTCACACAGCAGACTTCACACAGGAGACGTCACACAGCAGACTTCACACAGGAGACGTCACACAGCAGACTTCACACAGGAGACGTCACACAGCAGACTTCACACAGGAGACGTCACACAGCAGACTTCACACAGGAGACGTCACACAGCAGACTTCACACAGGAGACGTCACACAGCAGACTTCACACAGGAGACGTCACACAGCAGACTTCACACAGGAGACGTCACACAGCAGACTTCACACAGGAGACGTCACACAGCAGACTTCACACAGGAGACGTCACACAGCAGACTTCACACAGGAGACGTCACACNAAAAAAAAACTTTTTTTTTTTTTTTTTTTTTTTTTTTTTTTTTTTTTTTTTTTTTTTGTGCATTTGCAGCGCCATTCGCGATAGACGTGAATTTATTACCTGGAAATTCACAAATGGAACAATGTGAAATGTGTTGTGATGAACAGGAGAAATTCCATCAAGTTGATTTGGAAGAGTTCTGTAAAACATATTTGGACAAGCATTAATTTTCTGCGTTTTATAAGCATGATACGTCAACGGTTTCGCCATTTGGAAACACTTATGCGTGTGAATAGCTTTTTAGTCGTATGAAGCACGTCAAATCAGAAGGGAGACCACGAATTACTGATGTTCATTAAAATTTGGACAACTGTTTGCGTGTAGTGACAACATCAGTCGAGATCAATTTTGATGCATTTAGTTCTGAAAAACAAAGCCAGATGTCTCACTTTTAAATATTTTTAAATTGTCTAATAAATATTTTCGATTTTCAGTTATGTTTTATTTGATTCAAAAGAAAAATATAGATCGACCTATTTCTTGCTGTTTGTTTGTTTGTTTTGTTTTGTTTTTTGTTGTTGTTTTTTTTTTTTTACATTTAAACCAATCAACCGTTTGAACACGATCTCACCTACTGGGAAGCGACGATGTGGTCGAAGCTGTAGCACGCTTGCCTGTTAACTTTAATAAGAACACACACACAAAAAAAAGGTGTGTGTCCCGGCAGGAAATATTATGTCTGAAATTTGGCCCGCCTGCTGAAAAGGTTGGCCACCCCTATTAATATTATTATTACTATTTTTCTTTTTTTTTTTTTTTT